TAGAAGACCTCCAATCCGATCCCATTAAAGGATCCTTTCATCAAAACGAGTTGCAGAAATATCCTCACGATCCCAACGAAGTGAATTGGCGAGTTGAACAAATACTCAAAACGAAATACATCGGTAAGAAAAGAAATAAGAAAAGGACCAAACGTGATTAAGTGAAGTGGTTGGGATATCCAAAGAAATTCAATTCATGGATCAACGCTGACCAAATCAAGAACATACACGTACTGAGAGAAATGGTCACTTCCACAGAGGTCGTCATGGACCGACCATTCGAATTCACTCAGTAGGTTAGAGTCAGTAATAGACAAGTCAAGAGCTGAATATGTTCCGGTGCCAGGATGTAAATATGTCTGTGAACCGTCATTATAAATGCATTAATCATTATTTGAAATAAAATCCTCCAGTAATTTACCTTTGGTGTTTGTATTAATACCACCCCAGAGTGGGTTGTGGCCATTTAAATCCCCCATGATTGAACAGGGTTTAGGTAGTTGATCATAAATAGCTTGCAGATCGGTTAGTTGAACAGCTGATGATGGCAGAATGTACAAAGAGCATAAAAGCAACCTGTAATGTGAGTCGGACTGCAACGACTTGAAGATTTGTTTTAAGTGGAACTAAGCTATGGATAATATTGTTCCTCACCAGGATGGATGATCCACCAGAAGCTCTATCACCCGGAGGAGAAGAACAGTGATATGCATTGAATTGACGGAGGTCAAACGTATCTGTCTGTTTCAGATGGGTTTCTTGTATACAGAACGCTGACGGCTTAAAATCTTGGACAAGTAAGTGTAAATCGGCTAAATTATTCCTCAGTCCTCTACAATTCCATTGTATTATGTGTGAGGACATTATGTATTCGGAGGATGGACTGTGGATCTACCCCTCACCTTCCTTGAAGGCGACAAGCTATGTTTCCTACCATGGTCTTGTGTGGACACATCCATGTCGTCAAGGGATCAAAACTTATTAACGATTTGGATCGGGTTTTTGGCCCCTTTTGGGGCTCTGCCACTTTGATTCCTTCTGGACTGTTCAGTGTTTGGTTTTGACTTGCTTTTCACGGTTGTCTCTGATTTAGATGATTGTTTCTGAGATGCTGATGTATCCATCTCAGAAGATGCTTTGGACTGAATGATACTTTTGGAGGAAGACATGGTTTGGGAACAGGACGTCACTTGTGAAGGCTTCACCTGGATTTTAGTAGACAGCAACGTGGGAGCAGAAGTCGAAGTCCAGGTATAATCCGACTGGAGTACATTGAACTTGTTTCGGTTTCGAGGCTTTAGTAGAAACAGAGACGGTGGTAGCATAAGTCGGACCTGCCCCTTCCCAAGCTATCACTAAATCAACACGACATTCCCTAAAACAATAAACAATATGTGGAAACTTAATTTGGTCTTGATGCAAGACTCGAGGTCGCTGAACACTTACCCGATGCGGGTATCGGACGACTACCTACCTAAGGTAGGCCTTTATAGCCGACATCGGGCCAAGTGACCGGGGAAATCCAGATTTCGGCCAATGCGCACGCTCCTTACATCTCTGCCCCTCAAGATGGCGGAGCATGCAAGAAGCGTGACATCGTACTGTCTCTTGGCCACGAGGTCCGCATGGGCCTAAGCTTTTACATATGTGACAACAAAGGTAGGTATTACGTCAGCCGCCCACCCAACTACCTAACCTACCCCATCCACTATGAAACTTTTGTATTTACTGTACTGTTATACCCCGAGACGCCCACACTTATGATCATTCACACATTCAATCATTCTGCATCGGAAGTATGATGTAAATCAAGTGCGTTATGGTTATAATGCACAGTAAATAACCTATGCATAAACGTCATTGAATATTTACAAATCAACAAAGTAGCATAGTTTTAAGCATGAGCGTTATTTACTAAATCACTGCAAGATAGTCTACTTACCTCTGCATAATATTTACAATTGCACAAATATACTTTAACCTATTTTATTATCATGAAGAACATATAATTAGCACTAATAACATTGTTATTTAGTACAACATATATAAAATACTTGAAATATTGTTCCTACCTTTAGATCTGACGTGTTAGTTGTTTGTGCTCTGAACTGCGATCGGATTGAAGTAAAGTGCAATGGCTGACGTGCAAGTAGTGTTTAGTGTTTTAAAAGAACCAATCAACACAAGGGGCCAAGCAAGTCAAAGGGCACAACACAAGCGATGACACAATCTCTTGACACCCCTTATACCCGTAATGGACTAGGAAAGATCTAAAAATAACCATAGTCTATCGCTTAAAAATGATACTGCTTGCGTTAAAACTATAGACAATGTCAACTTCAAATGAACCAAATCTTACATGACTTCATACCTGTCACATATTTATAGGGGTGGGTTTGCTGGTTGGAACTGTATCACATTTTGCTCACAAATAGTATTCTTGTTAAACGATATGGTCTATTATAAAATATATTTTGACGTCAAACGGTGCCTCCGTTTCGCTTGATTCTTCTTCTTCATCTTCACTGTGTCACCGCGTGGATACGCATCGACTGGGGAATTAGCTCATATTTGAGATAAAGTCTACATACAATACGTTGACAAGACGAAGGAATACGTTGAGCTCAATCTTCTTAAGTTACATGACAAACAAATGTACAAGACAGAAATGAGGTGAGTGGAGTTCCTGCTCAACCCCAGGGCGTTCCCTACGAGCATCATCATCCCGCTCGTGGACGTCCCTACACAGAGAGTCGGAATACCGGACTCGTACTCCTTCACAATCTAGATATGAGCCTACTAAGTATATGTACAGTTTTTGACAACAATGGACAGGCGACGGCTCACTAATGGACAGACAGAAAAACAATAGCACTTCCTTGACCAGTTGATGTGATGGAAGACACGGCCAAGGGGTATGACCAATAAAGGTTATAAATGTCATACACATAAAACAGTGTAATTAATTGCCTGACAAGTCAATGTACAATGCGGAAGTGATAAGGATTACATAGAATACAGATTAGCATCATATAAATAATTAAAATAACGTCTCACATGTCTTGTGTACATAGTTTTTTACTTTTTAAATATTTGGACGATGGCTGTCTTAATTAGTCCCTATAACAACTGGAAGATTGTCTGGCAAGATGTTAAATCGGATCTTATTGATACGGTCTAACATCCATTTCAGAAATGACATCAGGAACATCTTTTACTGCTTCAGAATCCATGGTCACTGTTAGGTTTTGAGGTAAAATCAAAGAGGAAGCCATCAGCAACAGGAACATATGACGTCATATCACGTGATACCCATCGGCTCATTAACTGTCGGGCGTTTCCGTAATAGGCGGACATACGAATATGTAAAAAGAAACCTTTTGCTCAATTCTTATCATGGAAGGTGAATTTTAGGTTATTCTTTACAACGAACATATCAAAAGTTTTGTTTTCGTTCGTATTCTCCTTTAAGGCATTAATGACTTGATGAAATTTACCACGAACTGGCTGAAATTGAATTTGTAATAATGTATATTTCTATAGAGAATGAGTTTATATATATTTACAAGGAAGGTGTCACTTGTCTTAAAAAATATATACCTTCACCCCTATTAGGATGCGGAAACATATTTTGCTATTTCTAAAAAAATATGCAAATATTTTTTAAATCAACACATAATGACCAAATGGCCAAAATATATTAAGTGAATATAAGCATTTTTTTTAAATTTAGGGAATAACGGCTTAAATTGACTCCGGAACCATATTATTAGAAACACCTTGTAAATGCTGTTGCCATGTTATTTTACTACGAATTCTTCGTCATCCGGTAGTTGGAGTTTACGCCGCTTGTAACAATGTTCTAGTTACATTACGACGTGGCAGCTTAATGAAGCAAGAAATCCAGAATTGATGCAGTTCTTTACAACTTTGGTGGAACCCATAAGCAAGGGTACACTGTATGGTGCTGATAAGCCAAGGACCATAAACGACGTGAACCGGGATTCGAACCCAGTTATAACTCTCGCACCTGTGCACGACGAATTTGAGACGACAGGGCTACCTGTTATCCTTGAAATATGATTAGTGGAACCTTTGTTTGGATTATCTCTGCACATGCTTTGTTCTTTGTTGTTGATCTGTTTCTCTGTTTAGTTTCTTATTGGTGTGGCGTTTCATTGACTCTCAGAGATAACCTACTTCAAACGTTCCTATGACATGTTCCTAATTACATAATTAGAGAAACATTTTTTTTCGTGAACGATTTATGATCACAATTGAACATTTTACTGAAAATATACATACTGAACAACATTTAGAAACGCACCATCCATATAATACTAGACAATCCCGTCAGACTGAAATGTACCCATATCTGAGCATTGTCGATGCATTTTAGTGTGGTGCGTTTCTAATGTTGTGCAGTATATGTTACAAATATATCAAGACTTACTACGTATTGCATCTATCATTTATTGACATATTATCTTATTTTAAGTACATGAAATGTGTCTGACACACGTATGTGATGGTATTGCAACGGCACTCTGTGCTGGCATACACTCATTTCTTTACGTTCACGATTTAGATAAATATCAATACCAAACAAGGTAACTTCAGTCGTAGTTTACTATACTGTATCGTAAATGAAACCATCAACATGGTTGACATAGTGAGTGATCTGAATCGGTTTTGAAGAAAATATACTTGGTGGAAGAGAAATCCCAGACAGAAAATACTTTAATTTGTCATGTTTAAGGCTATCCGCAGCACTTATTGGGCTATTAATCTAACCCTTAAAGGATAAATATCAAACAATATAAGCATCGGTTGATATGCTGTCGAGCTTCCGAGCGTGTAATACATGAAACGCTGAATTATCGAAAGGTACATGATCCAAAATTACATATAATTTATATATTTCAGCCAAATCGTGTCCACCTGACTTTCATCATGACAAAGAAGCCAACCTGTGTCTGAATCTAGATGCGAATCCTGACGGTAACTTCAGCGCCAACAGATGCTCCGAAATGTTCGTAGATGCCCGTCCTGCCCAACTTCAAACAACGCAGAAACACCAGGCAGCGGTGAAATATCTGAATCAAAAAGGTAATGGATTATATATCAATTCCATGTTATAATACTGTTGATGCACCTCTCTTGGATATATATATATTCTATAATTGGATTTACCTCAAACAGCATTTACTACCGATGGTGGCTTTATAAAGGATATATACTAGACAAAATAAGTTAGGGATATTGGTATTTTAATGATTGATATGTCATCAGTGTATCAATGAATGAATAAATCATTATTCATAATTTCAAAATTTTCACATATCCCTAACTATTTTTGTCCAGTATATTAAAAAATGATGTGAACGACAACCATAAACGAAGTGATATAAATGTAATATTGCGAATTTCGATGGCTATATTCTCAACTGTTTGATTGGCACTCTAGGAGAGTCAATAAGGAAGCATACGACTTTCAGGCATAGAAACTTCTGCTTTATTGCATGGAGCGACTGTCTGAATCCGTACAATGTCTCCCTCACACTGAATATCGTGGAAGCTATTATGTATTACACTTGGAGCATTAACTATTCAATAGCACCCAGCCAGCTTGTTTTTGCAATTGAGTCGTTCCGTTGTTGTTTTAACTCTCCACCTGGTCTCACCTGTCGTAAATGTTAATCTTCTGCTTGTCACTTGGTTGCAATCATTCTATCTAGATAATAGTGCAAGAATCTTCGAAAGTGTAGTAGGGCCGCTGTAGGAGTTATTAATATACTATCTCCTTCGTAGTCCTTAATATCTCCTAGTAGGACATACTATCTCCCTAATATCTCTTACGTATTTTGCCATGCTTCATATTGTACTGTGGGTGAAAATCTGGAAGTATATAAGACTTGAATTTTCATGTTTTCCCTTATTTGTTTCCATAAGTATACATATATTGAGAGAGAGAGAATCTCACCCGAGTGTCTTTTGATATCAAATATATCATCACGTTTTATCAACGAGCGTTGATATATTTGATATCAGAAGACACGAGGATGTGATTCTATTTATCATCCAAAATCACTCTTCATTAGTTTTCAATGAAAAATATACATCTCTGAACACGATTCTGCCATTATACTTGCAGTGCTGCGATGTCATAGCATTGTGACGTCATCAAGTTCATGACGTCATAGCATTGTCAGGGCATTGTACAAAATTGTACTCCTGGGAGATATCGTATGATCTCACACAAGCAATATCTCCCGTGGAACACAGTGAAAATATTGCTGACAAACAGTTTCTGTGTCGACTTAGCTACTACACTCGACCAGCTTCTGAATCGTGGGAATAAGCACGCACAGATTGCCACCAATAGTGTAAGACAGGTCGGTTGGTCAGAGGTAAGCACGCAGATTATAACCCATGTGCAACCACCTCTGAAGTATCCAACACATAACAGTAAAGTGTAACAGACAGTGCAACACATAACGGTGAACTAAATGCTACACGTAATATTAGAGCAAACTGAACGCAAGGCAGTAAAGTATAATAGTCGGTCCAACATATGATAGTAATGTGGAAATGATAGGACTGTAGCTCAATTTCAATCCAATTGAAGCGATAGAAATATCCGTTACTAAGTCATTTCACTCCTATTTCTTCGCATGGAAGTAATGTGCAACAGTTAGTTCAACACATGAACTAATAGTGAATGAAACACATGACAGTAGAGTGCCACAGTAAATGAAACACATGACAGTAGACTCTAACAGTAAATGAAACACATGACAGTAGAGTCTAAAAGTGAATGAAACACATGACAGTAGACCCTAATGGTGAATGAAACACATGACAGTAGCCTTTAATGATGAATGAAACACATGACAGTAGACTCTAATAGTGAATAATACACATGACAGTAGACTCTAACAGTAAATGAAACGCATGACAGTAGACTCTAATAGTGAATTAAACACATGACAATAGAGTGCCACAGTAAATGAAACACATGACAGTAGACTCTAACAGTAAATGAAACACATGACAGTAGCATCTAATGGTGAATGAAACACATGACAGTAGCCTCTAATGGTGAATGAAACACATGACAGTAGACTCTAATGGTGAATGAAACACATGACAGTAGCCTCTAACAGTGAATGAAACACATGACAGTAGACTCTAATGGTGAACGAAACACATGACTGTAGCTTCTAATGGTGAATGAAACACATGGCAGTAGCCTCTAATGGTGAATGAAACACATGACAGTAGCCTCTAATGGTGAATGAAACACATGACAGTAGACTCTAATAGTGAATGAAACACATGACTGTAGCTTCTAATGGTGAATGAAACACATGGCAGTAGCCTCTAATGGTGAATGAAACACATGACAGTAGCCTCTAATGGTGAATCAAACACATGACAGTAGCCTCTAATAGTGAGTCAAACACATGACAACGACTCTAATGGTGAATCAAACACATGGCAGTAGCCTCTAATGGTGAATCAAACGCATGACAGTAGCCTCTAATGGTGAATGAAACACATGACAGTAGACTCTAATGGTGAATGAAACACATGACAGTAGCCTCTAACAGTGAATGAAACACATGACAGTAGACTCTAATGGTGAATGAAACACATGACAGTAGACTCTAATGGTGAATCAAACACATGACAGTAGACTCTAATGGTGAATCAAACACATGACAACGCCTCTAATGGTGAATCAAACACATGACGGTAGACTCTAATGGTGAATGAAACACATGACAACGCCTCTAATGGTGAATCAAACACATGACAGTAACCTCTAATGGTGAATGAAACACATGACAGTAGCCTCTAATGGTGAATGAAACACATGACAGTAGCCTCTAACAGTGAATGAAAGACATGACAGTAGACTCTAATGGTGAATGAAACACATGACAGTAGACTCTAATGGGGAATGAGACACATGACAGTAGACTCTAATAGTGAATTTAACACATGACAGTAGCCTCTAATGGTGAATGAAACACATGACAGTAGACTCTAATAGTGAATGAAACACATGAGAGTAGCCTCTAATAGTGAATGAAACACATGACAGTAGCCTCTAATGGTGAGTGAAACACATGACAGTAGCCTCTAATGGTGAATGAAGCACATGACAGTAGACTCTAATAGTGAATGAAACACATGACAATAACCTCTAATGGTGAATGAAACACATGACAGTAGCCTCTTATAATGAATCAAACACATGACAACGCCTCTAATGGTGAATGAAACACATGACAGTAGCCTCTAATGGTGAATCAAACACATGACAGTAGCCTCTAATAGTGAATGAAACACATGACAGTAGACTCTAATGGTGAATGAAACACATGACAGTAGCCTCTAACAGTGAATGAAACACATGACGGTAGACTCTAATGGTGAACGAAACACATGACAGTAGCCTCTAATGGTGAATGAAGCACATGACAGTAGACTCTAATAGTGAATGAAACACATGACAATAGCCTCTAATGGTGAATCAAACACATGAGAGTAGCCTCTAATAGTGAATGAAACACATGACAGTAGCCTCTAATGGTGAATGAAACACATGACAGTAGCCTCTAATGGTGAATGAAACACATGACAGTAGCCTCTAATGGTGAATGAAACACATGACAGTAGACTCTAATGGTGAATGAAACACATGACAGTAGCCTCTAACAGTGAATGAAACACATGACAGTAGACTCTAATGGTGAACGAAACACATGACTGTAGCTTCTAATGGTGAATGAAACACATGGCAGTAGCCTCTAATGGTGAATGAAACACATGACAGTAGCCTCTAATGGTGAATGAAACACATGACAGTAGACTCTAATAGTGAATGAAACACATGACTGTAGCTTCTAATGGTGAATGAAACACATGGCAGTAGCCTCTAATGGTGAATGAAACACATGACAGTAGCCTCTAATGGTGAATCAAACACATGACAGTAGCCTCTAATGGTGAATGAAGCACATGACAGTAGACACTAATAGTGAATGAAACACATGACAGTAGCCTCTAATGGTGAGTGAAACACATGACAGTATCCTCTAATGGTGAATGAAGCACATGACAGTAGACTCTAATAATGAATGAAACACATGACAGTAGCCTCTAACAGTGAATGAAACACATGACAGTAGACTCTAATGGTGAATGAAACACATGACAGTAGACTCTAATGGTGAATCAAACACATGACAGTAGACTCTAATGGTGAATCAAACACATGACAACGCCTCTAATGGTGAATGAAACACATGACAGTAGCCTCTAATGGTGAATGAAACACATGACAGTAGACTGTAATAGTGAATGAAACACATGGCAGTAGCCTCTAATGGTGAACGAAACACATGACTGTAGCTTCTAATGGTGAATGAAACACATGGCAGTAGCCTCTAATGGTGAATGAAACACATGACAGTAGCCTCTAATGGTGAATGAAACACATGACAGTAGACTCTAATAGTGAATGAAACACATGACTGTAGCTTCTAATGGTGAATGAAACACATGGCAGTAGACTCTAATGGTGAATGAAACACATGACAGTAGCTTCTAATGGTGAATCAAACACATGACAGTAGCCTCTAATAGTGAATCAAACACATGACAGTAGCCTCTAACAGTGAACGAAACACATGACAGTAGCCTCTAATAGTGAATGAAACACATGACAGTAGCCTCTAATAGTGAATGAAACACATGACAGTAGCCTCTAATGGTGAATGAAACACATGACAGTAGCCTCTAATAGTGAATGAAACACATGACAGTAGACTCTAATGGTGAATGAAACACATGACAGTAGACTCTAATGGTGAATGAAACACATGACAGTAGACTCTAATGGTGAATCAAACACATGACAACGCCTCTAATGGTGAATCAAACACATGATAGTAACATCTAATGGTGAATGAAACACATGACAGTAGCCTCTAATGGTGAATGAAACACATGACAGTAGCCTCTAACAGTGAATGAAAGACATGACAGTAGACTCTAATGGTGAATGAAACACATGACAGTAGACTCTAATGGGGAAT